TTGTAATGAGGTTCAAAAATAGGATCCGAGCGCGAATCCTTGCGTTGAGGAAGTGTGTCGATGGCATCAAGTAGCGAATCCAAAAGATCATCAATGTTGATACGCTCAGCATTGCCTCTCACAGAATCATCACAACTGAACATCTTCCAGAGACATTTGCTCAACATGTAGTGATTCCTGCTTCACTGTTAGGATTGGGCTTGGCCCACGAATAGCTGATGGGTACTTACATCCAACTCTTGGGTTTGTCAATGGTTGCACGCTTGAGAAGGTAGCTTGCCAAGTTCCAAACGGAGTACAACCTCATCTCCTTGAAGGGTTGCCCTTGATACATTCGCTGGCTCTCTTCGTTACTGAAATGACGGGTAAAATCGGCAAGACTGAAGGCGGCCATGGAAAGAGGTTCGCGGGAAGAAGAGTAGAGCCGAATACCAAAATCGGTATAGAGCTCAGACAAAGTCGCTCTGGTTTCAGGAGTCGGCTCGGCGTTCCTGATTGCTGTCGCAACTGCCATTGCATAGCAGTGAATGGCGTTGCGTTGCCAAGTCACCAGCTCAGTTCGATTGTTGTTGATTTTGTCCGCAGACCAGGTAATATCTTCCTCCAACTTTGAGTCATAGGTCTGAGCAAGCCGGTACCAGGTCTCCCATCTTCCAGTACCATGTTCTAGATCCTGTCTGAAGAAGCTGATGGCTTCATCAAGATCAGTAGTCGGCACTGGATTCAGGCGCTTCTGAGAGCGGAACTTAGTCAGAGCTGCATGACCCAAGAGGAAATACCACCCATTTTGGGCAATGACCGCGCTCTCAGTAGGTACTGGGATCAGCGGGAGATCCACAACACCTCGAACTGCGCGGAAGAGTTCAGTTGGATTGATCGGTGACTTCAGGTAAGCCGACAGGATACGCTTGTTGTATGTGAGAGGCGGTGACGATTTTGTCGTTCCAATGGCTTGCTGTATCTTCTCAATTGTGGATTTCAACTCGGACTTTGACAAGTCCTTGATACTCAACCGTTTCGCCAATTTCATGACAAAATCAATCATCTTGATAGCCGTTGAGCGATCCAGCTTTTCCGGCGGACACTCATGCTCAAACAAGAAGATCCCAGAGGGAGACAAATTGATGCCGTAAAGGTCCCAAAGAATCTGGCAGATCTCAGACTCGTAGTCTTCCTTCGTCTCCAAGTTGAAGAATTCAGCCTTCATCAACTTGAGGAATTGCTTGTTGGATCGTTTACACATCTTACGAACGCCAAGCGCATTGTGCACAGAGCGTAGGAAGAGGATACGGTCTTCGAGAGGAGATTCGAAGAGGTCCCCATTCTGGGTAATGGCTTCTTTGAGGAGCGTGTATTGTAAGATCCAACAGCGAACCTCCATCTCCCTTAGCTTCTCCGTGAAGTTTCCCAAAGATTTAGATAACGAACCGCGCACAGTGGACGATGGTGTTTGCCCGACACGGACGGAGTCTTCGTAAAGTGCAAAGCTGTGCAGAAGATTTGTCAAAATCGTCAAGGCTGACATGGAGGATCTCAGATGCTCCATATCAAGACACTCGTACGCTTTGTCAGATTGCTGAAGCACCAGTGTCACCAGCTTGATTAGAATGCGGTCAAGAGATTTGAGCCATCGAATCAGCGTTATTTCTCGGTGTTCATTACTTTCTTCGAGATAGGAACTGCCAAGGAGTTCCTGAATTATCGTCTCGACACTGCGTAGGTAGCATGAGACCACTTTAGGGGGATAGTCGATCGCCTGATAGGCATCCTGAAGTCTTTGCCACAAGAACAGTTTGAGCAACGCATCCCCTCGATCCAAGAATGAGCGCATCTCCTTAAGCTGTACCATTGGCTGTGAGAGTGGCTGATCATTTGATTTGCTCTCTTCGACAATTTCAACAGATGAGGGCTCTATAATCGGTTCAATTGTTTCAATGAGTTCGACAGGATCCTCCGAACCAGGGGTGAAAATCTTCATAAAAAAGTCCATGGAGTTCAATTTTGAGATTTCCTGGTCGATCGCATCCGCTGACAACTCAGGCATCATCGCATTGTTCATAAGATGGATCTCCGGAATGCTCATGCGATTCAAAATTTCTTTCAACTCTTGGAGACATAGCAGTACGTGCTCACGATGAACATCTGGCGCCATATTGGAATGAAAAGTCGACGCCCATATATGGCGAAGAACAATGGTGTTTTGGCTATCCTTGTTTGATGGGCCATTGTCCAGATAGTGACTCAAAGCTGTCCTTGCAAGCATGCTCCATCTCATCAGACGATCCCCTTGCAGAAGTCTTGTGTCCTGGTCGACCTCACTGTGGGGATTATTAATGGAGGCATAAACGTCGAGGTGAATCTCGAAAATTGCCTGGCTCATCTCCAAGTATGCGAAATGTTCACGGGTATACTTAAATGGCGCTGCGGGAGTATGGCTGAGTATTTGATGTTCAGTCTGCTCGGCCTGTTCAAGCATTCTTCTGTAGATGTACTCGTCGTCCCGTATCAATATTTGGACTACTTTTTCTTTGAGCATGTCCGGCCACTGAAACGCTACATAAGCTGACTCCATGATTGGCCATTTTTTGGCGCGCGAGTTCTTCCGCACGGAGGACTTCCCATTCACCGGCATCAGAAGGAGTTTGAGCCAGGCGAAGACTACTTCATGAAGGTGGAGCCATTCGTCGTTGACACCCTTCAAGAATTTGCTCAGACCCTTGTCGTCAGTAAAGCTGGGCTTGAGTCCGGGCTTGCGAGCAGACTTCCTCGAATGCTCCAGGAAAATGGCCAAGCCAGATTTGTCCATGGCTTTCATATCCTGGAAGGTCGATGAAGTATCGTTTTGCAGCATTGCTTGAGATTTTGCTTCGTCCCAGTTTTTGACGATACTGTCCAGATCCCGATAGAGCACATGTACCGCTGATGTAGGCTGATTGCTCGATAATTCCAGGGCGGATTTCGAACAGTTGGCTGAAGCTTGTCTCCGCATTTCATCAACACTCTCCAGCTTGTCGACTCCAACTTTGGACAGCAGAGGCCCGACCGTGCCAAACATCCATTCGTCGGCCTCAACGTAAGTCTGCAAGCGATCCTCGAAATATTTGTTCTGATCGAAAGAAACCTCATCAGACTGCAGCGAAGTTTCTGCGTTTGATTCTCGGAGGCGAGTTCTTCTGCTCTTGGTCCTTACAGGTTCAGCCTGGTAGTCCTCATTCGCAGCGGACGCAGACGACCTCTTCCGACCAGCACTTGATGGGTTAGGATCGACTTCATCAATATTTGGGACGTCCTGCAAAGTGGCAGCATTATGTTGCCGCGCCGATTGATTCTCAAGAGATTCCATAAGCTGCTTCTCAGCTCGTTGATCTATGGAGGATTGATCATCAGCCTGCTCGGAAATCGAACCAGGCCCCTGAGACTTTTTGGGCGTCTTAGCTGCTGCGCTTTGAGTATTGTATTCTGCTATATCGACATCCTGTTTTGGCATGTGATGAGCGGATTCGTCGTCCTCCACACGGCAAGACTGATCCTGATCTGCGACTTCTCCAGCGGTCGAAGATTGTAACTCTGCGGTGGGGTCTGGCACCGAGAAGCTGATTGAGGTTCCAGGGCCAAATTTTGTTGCATCGACCTCCATGTCAATGAGAGCTTGGAGGATGGATTCGCCGACAGCAGCCCATGTATGGGATGCAGGTGTCATTTGATAACGGGACGCATGAAGGGCTAGGGGATTTCTGGAAGAATCTTCATCTTTCACATGACTGGGGAGAGCCGGAAGATAAGGATACGGATCCCTTTGACGTTCGAGGAACTTGAGAAGGGCCTTCTTTGGTTTCTTCAGTGGAACCTGAGAGACGGATACATTGTCGTCGAGCGCCTGCAGAGTCTCCCGAAGCTGGCCTTCGGCGAAAGTCTCGTCCAAGCCTAGCTGATCTGTCCGAACTTCTAAGCGGTTTTCGTCGTCTGCGAGAACGCTTTCTAAGCAGTATCGAGCCAGTCTGTAGCTGTGCAGAGCGCTAGATAGTCTCGCGCTTCGTCTCCAAAGATTGAGATCGGTGTCATCGCGTTCCAAAGCTTCGGCAAAGGAAGCCAAAGCGGCGCGCGTACTCTTGTGCACTTTGGATAGAATCTCCTGCGCTTTGTCAGAAGTACTGGGGTTCTCTTGCAAAAAAGCTTGCACAGAATCAAGCGTAAATTGCCCATGGTTTTTATAGGACAAATAAATCGTCTGTAACAGAGTGCTAGATGTCGAATCCGTGACATTGAAATCTGCAAACGTCTCTGCTGCGCCGATTGTTGCGACGTCCTCATCGAGATGTCCCTCAGAGTCCTGTAGAGCAGATCTCTTATAGTCGGAAATCGATTCGGGATGTTTGAAGATCTCCGAATTGAGGAGAGCTTCGTAGGCCTCCGCAGCTTGGGCATAAAATTGTGGACCCTGCGAGTGTAGCTTGAGGGCGTTTTGATAGAGCTTCAAAGCTTCTTCAATCTGGATCTCCTTTGTATCATCAACCTCTTCTTCGACTGCCTCGTCAGGCTCAATATTCAACGCCACCCAGCTCGACATGATGGCGTCTATGCGGCCCGCCAAATGGTCCCTGACACCTGTGATGAACGGGCTATGATAGACAACATTTCAGACTGATGATTTCAGCCTCAGAACAAGGAAGCTTTTGAAGCTCAGTTGTGAGGGTCGAGATAAGATGGAAGTGGTTTAATTGGCGACACGCATCACGCGTTTACGGGGAATCGAATTTCCCGAAGTAGGATAGCCTGGGTGCCTGAGTACCCAGGCCCCTATTTTCCAGGCGCCCGCTGGAAAGATATGGGGCTGATCGGCGTCCTTTTGTTACGGATTACGACGACTGGGAATAATCACCGAACCTGCAGCTCATCTGCAATTAATGCGCCATCTATATCTGAAAGACAGTTAAGCCGCGTATCACTTCCACTGTCAGAGTTCGCCCATAGCCGGAATTAACTGCGCTCCTGCAAGCGCCATGGTTGCGCCAGCTGTTCCTGAGTATGTTGCTACCCCCTCATTTTACGTGTTCCTGAGGAGAGGCTTGCTACCTACGCCAGCGCCATTGGTTTGCGATTGACCCCTAACGTGCTTCTAGGATATACGAAGAGGATGACATCTTTGCCGCTGTCGATGCGCGAACGGAGTCGCTTCAGAATCTACGAGAATTAGGTCCTCCAGACTTGGTATACTTGGTCAAGCAGCCGAAGACCAATGCAAACCGGCAGGTACGTTTGGTCGCAGAAGCCTGGTTCTAATAGTGTGACGACTTAGTAGACGGTGTGATATCAATTGCAGTGGACTAACTAGACTATAATGTTCATAGACTGGAGTTTACCATCATGTCACCGGCGTCGATGCCTCGTCCTCCGCCAGTCTGGCCGCCTACGTAAACACGCTTACCTTTTCGCCTCTGGATAAGACACACAAGGTGGTTTCTGGAATCTACTGGTCAGAAGTTTGATTGAATGGAGCAATGGTTCTGTCATGGTTAACGTTTGCGCAGCTGTTACAATGCCTTCTCTCATCTCGATATGCGAGTCGAAGTGAAGATACCAGGAAGTCTGGAGAGCTATTGCATCGATGAGCGAGGCGATAAGCGTGTTGCTACCGAAGCCCTGTGGCTTGAGACGTTCCTCTGCGGGGTACTGAGAGCGTATTCTTACGCGGACGACGGTAGCGGTGATGCCATCAGAAAAATCGTTGGAGTTCGACGATTCAACCCGGTAACCAACACGGAGATGGAGCATAAGTTCATGGATGCTGCAGAGAGACTATTCTTCCTGGGTGCGCTGTCTTGGCAATTCTTTGGAGACGGAGGTAAGCTGACAAGCACGTATAGGGAGGCAGCTCAGCTCCGATCCAGAAACCCAAGTACCAAGTACCGTCAGCAACCATCTCACAGCAGGTCTGCTCAAGTACATCCAAACAACCGGCCGCTATACCTCGGGGGTGAATCTGTTTGAGAAGCTTCGCACGCGAGATGTAGAGGTTTCGTCGCTGTTGGCAAGGGTTCTGTTAATGGCAGACGAAGAAGTACAGGCTGTACGGTTGATGTTTGATGCTTTGCAAGACGTGCCAATGGACTATTCACTACTTGACTGCCAAGCAGCGTTCTGTATGAGCAAGGGAGAAGGTGAATTGGCCCTGGAATGCGCGAAACGTGCTGTGACGGCAGCACCGAGCGAATTCAGCACCTGGGCTCGGCTGGCCGAGGTGTACGTATCACTCGAGCAATGGGACTTGGCGCTCCTTACCCTGAACTCGTGTCCCATGTTCACATATCAAGACAAGGACACGCCTCGAATGCCCCAGCCGTCGCGCATCATGCTTCCTATTCTTGCAGAGAGCATATTGGATGAAATCGACGAGGGACAACCTAAACAAGGAGACCCTCACGACTATATTCATCCATCGCTGAGAAAACTGCACGCTGCATCATACCAAGGCACATTTTTGAAGGCCTACAACCTGCTGACAAAGATTGCCGCATCGATCGGCTGGGACCAGCTACTCAAGATTCGCAGCGAGGTCTTCGTCATGGAAGAGGAGTACCGAGTTGAGCGCCAGCACTCCACATCGAAACCTGGTAAAGCTGGCTCTGTCGCTGAGACCCAGACTGCTGAGACCAATGGTGACGGTGAGAATGGAGATGGCTCTGGAGCCGAGGATGAGGATTCATTGGCCGAGACTGCAGCCAACGGCAATGGAGAGAACGAAGAGCAAGTAGAAAGTTCTATTGAGAAACCAGAGCAATCGATGGCATCAGAGGTCGTCAAGTCAGGCAACGATGATGTAAGTCCATATACCTCTTTGTCACTTTTTGTTTGGATTCTGATCTTGAGTTCCTAGGCCGACCCGTCGCATTCTTCGTACACACAATTCAAGAACAAGCGTTTGTGCGAGCGCTGGCTAGATAACCTCTTCATGGTCTTGTACGAAGATCTGCGCATCTACACCATCTGGCGCACGGAGATGGCTCAATTCCGCCAGCAAGCGATCGAGTACAAGAAGTCGGCGACCGAATGGGAGATTCTGGGCGAACTTGCCGAGCGTCTGCATCACTTCGACGAAGCGATCGAAGCCTATCAACACTGCCTGTCTGTTCGGTTCTCGCCTAAGGCCATGCGCGGAATCCTGAAGTTGTATGAAAACCGAAACGACACGCGAGGCATGCTAGGCTCCCTGATTCGGCTTATTGCATGGCAATATCGCTGGTACTCCGAGGTATGTTTCTGCTTTGAAGTCTGCTAGTGCAGATCGGACCGAACAAGCACTAACTGTGTATGCAGTTCTCTCCCGAGTTACTCTACCTCATCCGCAAACTCATTGAGGACGAAGGAGCCGTCAAGGTGCGCAGCATCGTGCAGGCGACGAATCTGCCACAACCTGTCCTCGATCTCACACACCAATACTGCCAGCTCTGCGCGACATTTCGCAGCAGCGGAAGCGATGGCTAAACCTGAAATTCACACTGCGACGCGAATGTCCAACGATATACCTCGTCGTCTTAGCCACAGTATACATATCCCCACGTATAGCGAATAAAGCAGCTCCGCCTTCAGGGTGGCTATGTAATTCTCAGAAAGTAACCAGTCTGAGAGGGTAGAGGCAGTTTAAATAATATGAGTAGGAATTTCATATACTTACCTATTATTCAGCTAGGGACTGGTCCATGGACAGTGAGTGTTTAGCAAATTACTTTCCACATTGTGGATGCTAGTCCCGGCAACCAGTGCAGTGCTTTCGTTGCAAATCAGAAAACATCGATAGAATAACAATCTCCCGTACATCCACTTCAGACCTTGTAGTTTTCTAGTAATTGAATCATACATCGCATCGACATCATAATAGATGTTCAAATCTCAAATTCAACTCATCGTATCAATCCAGATATATAGTTATCCCAAATCTGCCCTGAAAACAGTATCCGCTCACCAGAAGCCTATCACGACAGTAGGAGGATGAAAACTACTCCTCATCCTCCTCCCCAACGTCGACCTCAGGCTCCCGGGGAACAGTGCTACCCTTAGCCTTGGCCGCCGCCGCCGCAGGACCGCTGGTTTTGGCGGTGGCATCGGGTTCTTCTTCTTCTGGTTCGCCGTCTCCGTCTTCTTCTTCGTCCTCGTCCTCATCGCCGTTGGCGGGGACGCCGTTGCCGTTCTCTCTGACCTCGTCTTCCTCCTCCTCCTCTTCGGCGTCACCGGCGGGAACTGTCTTTCTTCGCTTGGAGGGACGAGCTGAGGATGAAGGATGTTAGATGCGAGGAAGGAGTATGGGCAGAGAAGAAAATACCTTTGTCCCTGGCGGGTGCTTCCTCTACCTCTTCTTCTCCTTCCTCTTCGAACTCCTCTTCTTCTTCGCTACCCTCTTCTTCTTCTTCGCTTTCGCCTATTTCGGAGTCTTCGTATCTAGAGCGGGGAAGTGTGAGTTAGCTTTTCTGTCCTAGTGAACGATGACACAACAATAAGTGAAGTGGATGAGCCTCGATGACGCGTGACGATGCAACACCCCAGATGCGACGAGTCTCGTTCATGCGCGTGGCGCAGAGCGTGCGAAAAGTGTAGCGGTAGCTGGAAGCGTACAACAGCAACAGAAATGTGTGAGACTTACTCTTCTTCCTCTTCGCTCTCGTCGCTAGGAAGCGCCTGGAGTTCTTCCTCCTCCTCGGCTTCTTGCTTTCTCTTACGGGTGGACATGGTGGCTTAGGATGAATAAGCGCTTATGCAAAGAGAGAAAGGCCGGCCGGGTCAATGGCAGAGAGGTATGGATGTGGAAAGGAAGATTTTGGTTAACCGGAGGCGCCGGGTATGACAGAAGAGACAGAGACTACTTGAGAGGAAAGGAGAGGATAGAGGGATGGGGAGGGAGGAAGAGGAAATTATAGAGGGAAAGGCTGAGGAGAAGGGGAGGGCGCAGGACAGGGCAGGGCAGGGTAGGGAGGTCTACCTAGCTACTACGGCTAGCGATTAGGTGGTAGCAAAATCCTCAGGACCAGGTCCTGCCCCAAGGGGGAGGGGGAACGGAATGAGCGACCATTACTTCAGCGACAGGAGGAGGAGAAGCGAGAGGGGGGAAAGACAAGAGTCGCCGGTCAGAGGCCAGCCGAAAGGAGCAGCGCGAGCTGGGGAAAGCTAAGCAGGACTGTAGGTAGGAGCAGGAGCAGCAGCACAGAGACGGACGCAGGAGGGAAGAGAGCTGAAGCTGCGGCTTGTTCTCTTGGGACCTCCATGGAGTATGTGACGACGTCGGCTTTAGGCCCAGACAGTGTGGATAACTCGATAAAGGCGTCCGGCCAATGGTTTCTCGTCATCAGTGCGTGTGCATTGTGCACCTAGGATGATGCTCAACTTGGAGCCCTTTCGCAGGCATCCTTGTTCTTACCATTAGCCTTTCTGACTGTGCTAAGATATGAAGAACAAGGTCGAGATTGTTCTGTAAGGCCAAGAGCTCTGTCCTATAAGGCCTATTTCAGAAAGAATAAATGCAAAAACACTGGATGACATTAATGGAATAGAGTCGTGGTTGTAGTACGATGGATGGAAGGATTGTCTGGAAACAGAAACAGAGGAGGACACAGCAAGGTTTAGCGTGGATATAAGAGGGCAGTGCGTGGATATAGAGTAAGCAGGGCATAATGTAAGCAGGAATAATGATGATGTCAGTAAGTACACCTCACGTACGGTAATTTTACAGGACACAACCATGGAAATTTCAAGCAGCAGCAGCTTCTCCGGATCTAGCCTGATCCGGATGCTCGCACGGACCATCCACCCAGGCACAAAACATCCTGCTGGGGATAAGCGTGTCTGACTGCCTGAGAGTGTCATGCAGGGGGGTTGCGGTATTTCCATGACAAAGCGTCAAGGGTCAACATTCAACATTCCCGCATCTTGTCAAAATTCGATATTATATATACATACTCCCTTATGTCAGATGAACCCGATCATAAAACACGACCTGTTTTCCAGGGTATCAAGAACAAAGGACAGATTATTGCGCCAGAAATTCAAAATTGGCCATGCTGGGATCAAGCAGATTCTCGTCTAACCCAAAGCCATACGTGCCAACCATGTCGTAGATGAGGTCCGGTGGTGGAAATCCCTGGGCCATGGCATTCGCACCGCCTGGTACCTCATCCTCAGGTCGGTCAACAGCTCCCGCACCTCCCACGGGGAGTCCTCCCGCGTTGGCAGGTCGGCCTGCCTGCCATGCAGTTTCCCATGAATCGAAACGCTCTAGCATCTTGCTAAGGCCGCGCGCAATGTGTCTTGTGAGATGCCTTTCACCAGCGGAGACACAGTTCATCAACTCGATGACTCGCTCCACCAGACGGCGCACCTGGCGGCCGTCGATACTGAGGTAGGCTGAGTTCCAGTTAACGGCCACCTTGAGCAGGAAGACCGCGGAAAAAGTGACCATAGTATGGGTGAAAATAGGGACGCCCACAATGGCATCTCGGATATCCTGTTCCTCCAATACCATATTCAGGCAGGCCATGGCGGACGAAATGGCGATGTTAGCCGATTCTTTCCGGTCCATGGAGAAGACCGGGGTATTTGACGGTGACAGCGCGCGAAGAGAGAGCGAATTCAGCTGAAATTTTGCAAAATGGTAATGCAGGACCACTCCTTTTGATGGATACGTCCTGACGTATGGACTATCGGCTACACCGCGAGAATTAGATAGTGCTGTGAGAATGATGGCGCACTGTCTTACCTGATCGTGGTTGCCATAGTAGGCGCCATTGATCAACCGCAACGTTGTAAACCCTCAGTTGGCCAAAATCTTCCTCCGTAAGTGCTTGTTCCGTATCGCTTCCAAACATTCGATAGGCCTCCGTGAGGATCATGAACAAGGCCACTTGTGCCAGCAGTCGAATGTCGCCAGGGACGACCATCGGTGACTGGAGGAAGGTCTCATAATTCTTGATCGAGACATCTTCATGTATGACGGGCGGTCGGCCATAGGCGATGCTGAAATGATGGTCGCAGACGTATAGTAGGTACCATAATTGTGCACGCTCATACTGATCATTATGACCGCGGATCATCCGCTGGTAGCTCTGGTGGAGACCCAGCTCCGTTGCTATTCGGACAGCATGACCAGAAAGCTTCCAGCTTAGCTCGGACAGCCAGAAGGCACCGATGCAGAGACCACGAATGTCGTCCAGAGTGTGAGCCCGCGTCAGAGACATGCTGGACACGAGGGAGACGTACTCGCTGTAGCATCGATTCAACGTCTCGTTGCGATTGGGAATGTGAAGGGCAGCGACAGTGAGAACAGCCGCAGACAGCAGTGTTGAGGCTCGTCTCACAGAGGTCAGATCTCGATGTACGAGGATGATTCCTCCCCAGAGAAGCTGGTTCATCGTCCGACTGAAGTATGCGAAGAGTTCCTCGGCCTCGTGGAGAGAAATCAGCCCCCGCGATATGAAATCCTCCTCCAGTAGGGTCAGCTTCGGTTTCTCCACAGTATTGTTTCGTAAGTTTCGTAGTTTCGTGACTTCGTAAAGGCTGCGCATAGGGGCCGGCACCAGCTCCGGGCCCTGCAGGTCCGGCTCCTGTGAAGGTTCTCGAGTGACATCCATCACAGCACCGGGGGCACTCTCTCCTCGACTCGGTTGTGAGTTGTCTATTGAAGCACGATGACCGTTCGTATGAGAAGCAACTGGGCTGGGTCCGGTCTGAGGGTCGCCTGCAGCATAGGTGGGGAGTTCTGGAAGTCCGCTCTGTCGGAGAAGGTCTCGCACAGCCGCTTGGAGCTGGTGAATCGCGGAAGCAGCTTGCGATTTCCATCTTGACGATAAGCCGTCAGCATATCGACGAATTCATAGAAAAGCCAAAAAATACACGTCAAGAAAACATACATTCCATCGTCATCAACAAACTTCTGCGAGAAGTCATTGACTACACACTTGATGCCGCTTCGTGTGCATTTGGTGCAGCTCGTTTCGCCCGGTTTGAACTCGCACTTGATCTTATGTCGTTTGCACTCCGCACCTGCACGTTCCGAATATCAGCTGGAGGCTCCACTTGCGATGTAGAGAGTTGTTCCGCCATCCTTGCATCTCTGCATCCTTGCCACAAGGCGCTCAGAAGGCCGAGTCGGAGATACTCACAAGCACGGGCTTTGGAGATTCTCGGAGGAGGTCGAGCGTCGAGAACGGAGGAACCGCGATCATATCGTCTTGGAGACTCGAGACCGACATCAGAAGACGATCGCTTTAGATCGGATCGATCCATGATTAATTGGTTGCCTGTTGACTGGGAAGACTAATCGGGGATGCTCCGGTACTATGCAACAAACCGTTGCTGACTCGCGACTTCGAGCAGTGCGATCAGCCGTCGGAATCGGAGCGATCTATAGACCTGCCTATGATGATTAATGGTATGCAAGTTGTTGTCCGTAATATTTGGCATTGACATGAGAAGAGAAGATGGGTCGGATGAGTCGAAAGAGGCGCGAGTGAAAGGCGTGGGGGAGAACAGAAGAAAGTGGGAGGGACAAGAGCAAGATTTGACCCCGCCCGAGTTGGAGTCGAAGTGCCTAAACACAGAGAGAAGATGGCTAATTTTAGCCAGCAATATGGCACGAAGATAGAGACTATGATGGTGATAGCTTATTGAGCTCTTGCAAGCTTTCTCTATCTTAGAATATCTCGATATGCGACGGACATGCATCGAATTCAAAACAATCGAAGACCTGGAGAAGCTACATTCTGGGGTCAAAACCTGGGGTACTAGATATGATATAGAGCACTTTCACAGCCATTCTTCTGCGAACACACCCATCATCCATCACCATTAACGGCATTCTATCGGTGGTCCTTGTGTATCAGCAAAGTTTTCTGGTCGATTTCTCCAAATGCAAGCCCCTCATACAAAGGACCATGCTGTCGCACCACACCAAGAATGGATCGCATTCGCTTCCCTCGCACTCTTGCCTCACCACTTTCTCAAGTTGGAAAAATACTGAATCATATCCGAAAAGTTCCACAAGTGATGCTGGCTCCATATCACGGACGATCTACGCTCTCTCTCAACTTCAATCAGTCTCAACGACATCACGGCTCAAGTCCGGCTGCGGAGAAGGGAATCACCTCGGACTTGATGCGAATGCGGAGACCCCAGTCACCCCACTACACATCCAGATAAGTTGATGCGATCACTCTTCACAGGTGCGATATCGTCCATTTTAGTTGGCAAATCCCTAATCTTGCTCGATCAAGTACCCAGACTCAATATGCAAATCCTCATCACAGGCGCCGCCGGCTTTATCGGCCAATTGCTCGCAAAAGAGCTCCTCAATGACCCCTCCTACCACCTCACACTGACCGATATCCACGAGCCCCCCGTCCCCAAGGGCGTCAAATACCCGCAAAATGCAAAGACGATCAAATCCGACCTACTCGGCGGCGCAGAGACAGTAGTAGATAAATGCCTCGACGCGGTCTTCGCCTTCCACGGCATCATGTCCTCCGGCTCCGAAGCCAACTTCGACCTCGGAATGAGCGTCAACGTCGACGCGACTCGCACCCTCCTCGAGGCCCTCCGCAGAACCTGCCCCGGTGTCCGGTTCATCTACTCATCCAGCCAAGCCGTCTACGGCCGACCGCTTCCCGACGTGGTCGATGACAGCGTCACCCCCACGCCGCAGGGTTCCTACGGCGCCGAGAAGCTGATCTGCGAGACTCTTGTTAACGAGTACACAAGGCGCGGCTTCGTCACGGGTTTCACGCTCCGGTTTCCCACGATCTCGGTGCGCCCGGGACAACCGACTGCGGCGGCATCCTCGTTCCTCTCGGGGATGATCCGGGAGCCGTTGGCGGGGAAGGAGTGTGTGATTCCGGTTGAGGATCGATCGTTCAAGTCCTGGCTCTGTTCGCCGCGGACGCTCGTGCAGAATCTTGTCCTTACGCTGTCGTTGCCGAGTGATGCTTTGCCTCCGCATATCCGGTCGATCAATGTACCTGGTATCTGCGTCACGGTTCAGGAAATGATGGATGCGCTGGAGAAGGTGGGCGGGAAGGATAAGCTGGCGCTTCTGAAGGAGAAGGAGGATCCAACGCTTCGGCCGATTCTGGACTCGTGGCCTACGAGATTTGATAATTCTCAGGCTATTGCACTGGGATTCAAGCGTGACTCGTCGTTTGAGCAAGCCGTTAGAGATTATTATGAGCAGGAGGTATTGCAGAAATGAGGGTATCCGTATAACTGGAGACTTCGATTGCCAAATAACAATGCATGTATTTAAACTTGTACAGAGCTACTAGAAGATTGACACGTACAATTTTGAGTATACTCCAAATGGAAAGGATGTACACAGCAAAAAATCAGATTATAATATGAATATGAAACAAGAGGTTATAAAAGCTTCAGTCTAGTCTTCCGTCCACCGGTACAGTTGGGGGTCTGGAGATCATTCCAGGACCATCATTTCCAAACCTAGGAGTATCTCAGCAAATGTAGGATGATGATTAAAAGTTTTTCCCAAACCTGTCCGTCAATGGCAACCAAGCGGTTGAACAGTTCGTTTCGAGTACTCATAGCTGTAAGCTGATAGGAATCGTGCGGATGCTTCCCCGTAAGGATCAAACCATCCACAACTTCCTTGCTGCCTACAGCCCAGCCAGCAACCAATTTCCCCTTCCAACCCATCCCGCCGATCTTGCGCATTTCTTGGATTTCGGTGACTGGCATTGTGAAGAGCACTGTGCCCTTCTTTCTACTATCCAGTCTGTAATCGCCCTGCGTGACAGTCGGGTCTGTTGTGAAGTATAGTAGCGGCGGTTGCTGGGAGGAGTCAATCACCACAGTGCCTCGTTTACCCTTGTACCTTGCGTCGAACTCCACAGGGCCGTAGGGCAAAGTCTCTTGGCCTTTCTTGCGTAGGATACCGAGATGATTCTTTGCATGAATTGACCCTGCTTCGGCGCGAACCCGGTCAACGGCCAGCTTGGTCTCAATCCCTGTCGCTGTGGTGCCCTTGAAGAAGCCGATTATTCTGGCACCAAAGTTCTTTTTCTTAGGCTTTTCGGCTTCGTGAAGCTCTGGTGCTGCAACTTGTTTCGGCTCAGGAGCCGCAGCTCGGTTGATTTCCTCGTCGGTAGCCCCCAAGGTCAGCTGATCGTGGTGGATCGAGGCGGGCCTTGACGGAGCTTTGTGGAGAGAGCTTGAAGGGGGCGGCGGCAAGGGCGCGGCATTTGATTCACCAATGCGAAGAAGTGTGAGCGTAAGCTGAGCATTAGTGGGGATTCCTTTCAGGAGAGAACTTATACGTAGTCAGCGAACGGTCAGTCCTGTGTCTCTGATGACTCGCACATACTTTTGCAATTCGAGAAGCTTCTGCCAATGCGGGAATTCATGGTTCAAGTAGCTCATGAGATGTTGGAGAACTGGATCCCCGAAAAAGACAAACCCAAGAAGAAAAGTGCTCGACTTGACGAATACGTAGCTTGAAGTCAGTAATGACCCTAGAAATCCGGCTGCGAGCACGCTGGAGAGGCGAAGGCAAGGGGTTACGGCCGAGAAAGGTGGTGTTGGTGAGAGAGCACTGCAGCCAAAACGTCAGAACCATGGGGCGTCTACTATCTATCATGAAACCCGACGCTTACTTGCCAAACCTCTCGTATGTATCAATGATATCACTGAGCACCCGCATTGCCATATTTGCGCCGTTCAACACGGTGTCCTTCATAGGTTGCCTGGTCTTGTCGTGAGTATCGGCTGGGACTTCTCCACCAGCAGCAGCTTGTGCATCGGCTGTCTTGGAGACAATATCCGTCGCGTCGGGAACTGAAGATTCCATAGGAGCATCTTCGGGTGTGCCTTGATCATGTTTGCCGGCAGCACTTCCCACGGCAACAGTGGCAACGCTAGTGATCAAATTACTTGCTTCTTGCTCGGCTGCTTCACCTCTATATTTCTCTGGAGCCCCAGTCACACTGTCATGAGAACCGAGCACTCCCGCCTTGGGTTTCTGCACTCCGCCAGTCGATTTATCGACCAGCGCGAGAGGTGCAGGAGGGAACAGGATCTTCCGAGATCGAGGGCAGACAACCAGAACAAGCATTGTACCAAAGATCACGGGAACGAGGAGATCAAAAAGCCAGGCTACGGAGTATACCTGTAGATATTGTTCAGTCTTCACTGGCCACTCGCCACAGTCTTGGACTTGAGCATACTGCGCAAAAGGCTGACGTTCGCCGAGGCTCTCTCCATGAGCGAAGCCTAGCGATGTGCTTAACAAGTCTGGTCAAGCCGATAACCACAGTTGTATAGAATCTCTCCAGGGTAGCCCTCAGCTTGTCTGGGGAGAAATTCTCATATTCTGCCCGATTGAGATCCAGCCTCTGTAATGGGGTGTTCGGAACAGCTTTGACACAATAGATTTGCTGCACTTGTCAGCACTCCCTTTCGAGGGCTCGAAAGCAAGCATACCTTATTGAAGCGTCGGATTAGCATCCAGAGATCCTCGTTCGACAATCCCGTCACAATCCTCTCCTCGATTTCGTCAGATTCTCCCCAGCCAATGTCCGAGACATCGTTGGTGACTCCAGCTTTCTGAGCCAGCCCTTTGGCCTCTTCCTCAGGCTCTACCTGAGAAAGTACATGACTGTCAGTTGGGCCTTGATTTTCTTCTTGGTTCTTTTCATCTTCGCGTAGACTCTTGTCGAGCCCCGCCGATATAGGCTCCGGCGCGCGGAGTGACTCTGGTGCATCAGACATTGTATTTAGCACAGAGTAAAGAAGCGTATCAACCCGAGACACATTGCATTCAACAGATCAATTAATTTACATCATGGAGGCGCATTCTCATCTTTTATGTCTGCATGTGCTTTGGTAGGTTTCCTGTTGCGGGACCATCGACGTCATCTTCTCCAGTTATCTTGTTGTTGAACCACCAAAGAGATCTGGAGTCCCTGGGTCCGTGTCTAGAGCTCGTAAGATCATAAGCATAAGGTACGATGGATAGATCAACATCGCTCAAGACTTGTTGTTCAGATCCACAAAAAACACCAAAAGTGGCATGGCATCAATTCTTGCAGCCTGAGGTTCGCCAAGTTAAAACTCCAAAGAGGGAAAGCCCCAGCAGCGGAAGGCAAGCTATCGATCATGTGACTAAATCCAGGGTTTGCCACACTTGCGCCACACAAACAACGCCACATATCTCCCTCATCTTGCCAAAAGTGGAAATACACGTCAAATCCATCAAAAAAGCGTTTATCAGACTCATTTCACAGAGAGTTCTATGATAGCAGCACGTCACTGATCTCTCTGAGTCCATGATGAATATTCAATGAACAAATTGCCCGTAGACGGAAGGGAGCATGAGTGAGACCTGTGCGAATCCCCTGCTCCTGGGGTGGATCAAAGAATGGCTAGATGAGGCTCGCGAACGCAACAGCAAAGGCGTCACAGTGTCAGTATCTTCATTGGACAATTTTTCTTCAATGAGACAAGCTCATACATTGCCAGATACAAGAAAGCTTATGAGTCGATGAAGGCTTGTCCGCTTGTCTTTCAACATCCATCCGAGGCACAACAGCTGAACGGACTTGGGCCGAAGCTATGTGAGCGTTTGACGGAGAAACTGAAGGCGTACTGTGAAGAAAATGGACTACCAATGCCCGAACATCCTCACAAGGCAGCAGCTAGCAAAAGAACTTCCGATGGGGGTGTTACCGACGATCAGCCAGCGAAGAAACCACGGAAAGCAAAACCATATGTGCCTTCTCTGCGCTCCGGTCCCTATGCGCTACTCTTAGGTCTAGCAACACTGGATGAGAACGCATCTCAAGGATTGACGAAAGCTCAGTTGATCGAGAAGGCTCAGCCACATTGCGACAGTTCTTTCACAGTCCCTCCCGACCCTTCCAAATTCTACACCGCTTGGAATTCGATGAAGACACTTCTTCAAAAGGAGCTTGTTTACGACCATGGGCGCCCCCTCCGCAGGTATGCGCTAACTGAGGAGGGTTGGGAAGTTGCGAAGAGAATCAAAAAGACTTTGCCCGGAGCCGATCAAAATACGTTGACTTTCAGGCATCAAACAGTAAGGGACGACAGTAACAGGTGAAGCAGAAATCTAACATCGACAGGACACGATATCGATCGAACAAGACGTCTCGAGTACTTATGTTCAGAGCAATACAAGCGCCAATGCTGGCCCGAGGCTTAGGGATAACAACGATATCGTTGTTCCGGAATTTCTACGCGAAGATGAGGACAATGAAGACATTCAAATACAAGACAACGATCGAGCAAGAGATCCTATTGATGATATCAGTATCGAACCTATCGCACTTCCTGCCAATAGTTTTACAGTCCAGCTGGTACTGGACACGCGCGAAGTTCGATCATCCAAAGACCGTGACTACATTGCCAATGAGCTAAGCAAGAAGGGCATTACCCCCGAAGTACGTTCCCTGGAACTGGGAGATGCAATGTGGGTTGCCAGATGCAATGACCCTGCTTTCCTTTCACAATACGGCGAGGAATGCAACGAGGTGATGCTGGATTGGATCGTGGAGCGAAAAAGGATGAACGACCTCCTCGGTTCTATCAAAGACGGGCGATTCCACGAACAAAAATTTCGTCTCCGTCGCTCCGGCATCAAGAACGTCATCTACCTAATCGAAGAGTTCGCCATTACCCACGATGTCGGCAGTGCCAGCGCCATGAAATATCAGGAAATGATGACATCCGCCATCGCCTCGACGCAGGTCGTTAACGGCTACTTCGTCAAGCAGACGCGGAATCTCGACGATACGATCCGCTATCTGGCTCGGATGACATTTCTCCTACAGAAGATGTACTGCTTTTCGCCACCCACACATACTCTCAGCCTGATCCCAAGTCGACAATTGTCTTCCGCTCAATCCTATCTCACAACACTTGAGCGACTCCGAGCTCAAGATCCATCAGTGACATACTCCGTCACCTTCTCTACATTCTCCGCTCTTACCTCCAAATCCGATATCCTGTCTCTCCGCGACGTCTTTCTGAAGATGCTTATGTGCACGAGGGGCGTGACAGGCGAGAAGGCCATTGAAATCCAAAAACGATGGTCCACTCCGCGAGAGTTCATCGAAGCGTTCGAGAAACTGGACGCGAAGGGTCGAGAAGATATGGTCTTTGAGCGGACAAAGACATTGGTTGGCCGTAAGAAGATGGGCAAAGTGCTCAGTAAGAAGATTGCCGACATTTGGGGTATGGACGGATAGCCCTGGGCGAAGTGGCTGTTCTACAGGTCGCTTCACTGGTGTCTAGGATGATAGGTTTTTACTGTTACTATCTGCTGTAGTGCAAGCGTTCATAATCTGAGAAGCCTTTTTGTTTGATGCTCATGATCTCCAAATTAATAAAATCAAATATCTCGAATTAGGGGTATGATACGAATGACAACTTCGATACAACAAACATAGGATATCCATTACTATTTACTAGTCAGTTGCAATCGTGACTATCACCAAGAAAATTCCAAACCAATAACCAACGCCAGCCTGTGACATGATGAAAGCTCTCCAACTAACTCATTCAACATCTAGACAGACCAAGCACCTTTCTGATCGTCTGCCCATCAATCGCGAGAGCAAGACTGCTGCTGATAACCGAAATACTGCTCAACGCCATGGCCAGCGCTGCCCAAACCGGACTAAGCCTCCAATGCTCATTGAGGATGACCATCTCGCCGTCCATCACCATATGCTTCTGCCCACTGACGATGGGATAGAGCACGCCCGCAGCAACAGGCACAAGGCAGAGATTATACACGACCGCCCAGCCAAAGTTCATCCTGACGCGGTTGAAGACGCGACGGCTGAGGAGGACCAGCTGGAGAATAGTATCCAGCTCGGAGTTGAGGAGGATGAAGCTAGCCGAGTTCATGGCGACGTCGGAGCCGGACGCCATGGCGACACTGACGTCGGCGGCTGCGAGGGCGGGCGAGTCGTTTACGCCGTCGCCAACGAAGGCGACAATCGATCGCGCGCTGGATCGGTTCGTTTGACTTTCGGCTTCGTCTTCACTTCGGACGGGGTACAGACCATCCTGGACCTTGCGGACAAAGTCCGCTTTGCCGGCTGGCATGACGTTGGCCATCACATGAGACCGCGAGATGCCGACCATGTCCGCGACGGCGTAGGCGGTGGTTAGGTTGTCACCCGTGCACATGAAGACGTCGACTTGCCGCTTGCGGAGCTGAGAGATGACTTCTGAGGCGTTTGGGCGGATGGAGTCAGTTGTGGCAAAGACAATGGCGGGGGTGAACGAGGGTTTGTCTGTGGAAGTTGGCTCGATTTTGCGGACTGAGAGGATCGCAGTGGATTTTCCTGCGGACTGGTACTCCTTAAGCAGACTGGAAAGACGGGAAGTGTCTACTGCAGAAGCAAGGCTCTGGAGAAGAGCCTCGTTGCCGATCGCGGCTTCATAGACCACTGTCGTCGAGGAGTGTGATGCAGAATTTTCAATTGACACGGTGAAGGTGCCCGTCATGCCTTGTCCGAATTTTTCTTCAACGTCGGAGGCTACGACGGTAATTTCAGAACGCCCCTTGCAAAACGCAGAAACCGCTTGAGCGATTGGGTGATTGCTGCTTTCCTCCAGCTGCTGAGCAAGCTTCCAGGCGACTCGAATCTGCTCAGCGTCCGTGACAAGAACTTCATGATCAGACACCTTCAAACTACCACCCTCTGTAAGAGTGCCAGTCTTGTCGAAGATAATCGCGTTCAGGCGGCTCGCTTCTTGAAACGCCTCTCCTCCGCCCTTGACGAGGATACCGTGTCTGGCAGCCAACCCACCGCCCACGAAGAGCGCCGTAGGGGCAGCAAGTGCTAACCCACATGGGCAGGCAACCACGAACACAGCAATTGCAAACTCTAGACTCCAAAAGGTCCAGCCACCCCGTGCGACGTCAAGGTAGTCTGCAGGTAATGCTCCAGAAAGCCCAAGAGAGAGCCAGATGATAAATGTGAGGATTGCTATGAGAGTGATCACAGGCACGAAATGCGATGTGAGTAAGTCCGCAACCCTTTCCAGAGGAGCTCGTCTGCTCTGTCCCTCGCGGACCACGCTGATGATCTGGTCCAACATGGACGAGCCGCCGAGGGCAGTAATCTTGATTTTCACGGGTTGGCCGACATTCACAGATCCCGTGTAAACTTGGTCGCTCGCTGATTTCTGCACCGGCTTGGATTCTCCAGTCAAGGAACTCTCATCGAACTGGTAGGCATTCTGACCAATGATGATACCGTCTGCAGGAGGGGAAGCGCCGTGAGGGATGCTGACAACGTCCCCAATCTCGAGCAAATCAACCGCAATCCGCTGTTGACTCTCAAGCGAGTATGGTTCCCCAGACTCAGTCTGCTCGGTAGGGGAGGACTTTTCAACCAATATTGCTTCAGAGGGCCTGAGCTTTCCAAGAGACGCAACTGCATCCCCTGTCCGCGCCTTGCTGTAAGCTTCCATGAATCTACCAGCGAGGATGAACAATGTCAGAAACACGACGGAGTCAAAATATGTTGTGCTGTGATTGCTGGTGGACGTGTTTGCGACAGCGTCCATGATGAGAACAGCCAACGACGACACGTATGCCACTGTGGTGCCGGCGGAAATCAGAAGATTCATGCTGCCAAAGCGATAGAACCTTCGCAGGATTGGAGCACGGCTTCCTGGTCGCCAAAGTGAATAGATCTCTTTCATGGCTCGTACATGGAAAATGTCTGTAC